TTTTTTTTTTTTTTTTTTTTCTCTCAAATTCACAATGGCTTCATCATCTTCTGCATTAATAAGCCCAGATCAAACTCAACTTGTTTTTCCTCAAAGCCAACTTATTTCTTCGAAACTCAATGAGACAAACTATCTGGTTTGGCATCAACAAACTCTTGCTGCCATCAAAGGTTATGGACTTTACCAATACATTTCACCAAATCAGAAGATTCCAGAAGAAATTCTGCAAGAAGAATCAAGTGAACCTTCTCAGAATCCAGAATATTTATTGTGGATAAGGCAGGATCAAATCCTAGCCTCTTGGCTATTGTCTTCCCTCACTGAACCAATCCTAGTGACCACTGTGGGATTAACAACATCCAAACAAATTTGGGACAGCCTTCAAATCAGCTTTGCAAGCCAATCCAAGGCAAAAATTATGCAGTACAAATTAAAGCTGCAAACAATCAAGAAAGGAGGATCCAACATGAGGGACTTCCTTAATCAAGTCAAATCCTGTTGTGATATTTTAGTTGCATCAGGTCAGAAAGTTACTGAAGAAGAGCAAATCATGTACATTTTAGCTGGTCTTGGTCATGACTACAATCCAGTCATGGTAAGCATTATGTCCAAAACTGAAGCCTTGTCTCTTAGAGAGGTACAATCTCTTTTGCTCACTTTTGAAACAAGACTAGAAGCCATGAACTTAGAGCAGCCACAATATAGTTTTGATGGTTCTGCACCAAATGTTAATCTCACTGAACAAAGTCAAGGAAGAGGAAGAGGAGTTTTTCAGACCAACAGAGGCAGAAGTCATAATGGACAAAGAGGAGGAAGGTTTGGCAGAGGAAGAGGAAGAACAGGAAATAGGACAGTGAGATGTCAAGTCTGCTTTTACAGTGGACACACAGCAGACCGATGTTGGCATAGGTTTGATCAAAGTTTCATGCCAAACAACAACACTGGATCCTTAGGAAGAGGAAGAAATCCTTCAGTGAATGCTACAAACCTTATCTCAGCACCAATGAATGAAGGAATGGAAGAGGCTAGTTGGTATCCTGATTCTGGAGCAAGTAATCATGTGACTTATGATTTGGCAAACTTAAATTTGGCTTCTGAATATCAAGGATCAGAGAAAGTTCAGGTTGGAAATGGTAAGAGTCTACAAATTTCTCACATTGGTAAATCTATAATCTCTTCCAATGAACATAAATCTCCTCAGTTTGTTCTCAATAACCTACTTTTTGTTCCTGAAATAACAAAGAACCTCATGAGTGTTTCTCAATTTTCTCTTGATAACCATGTATATTTTGAATTTCACCCTCATTGCTGTCTTGTGAAGGACCAAACCACAAAGGAGATCCTTCTAAAAGGGAGAGTTAAAGATGGACTCTATGCTTTCAATCTGTCAAGCTACAATGGTGATCAATCCTTTGTTAAAAATCCTCACCAACCAACTTCAATTTCTGTTAACCATGTTCAGAAAGAAAATGTTGATGTTGCCACTTGGCATTCCAGACTGGGACATGCTCCTTTTGATATTGTTAAACGAGCTATACCTGATTGTAATGTTCCTTTGATTATGAATGAAACTCAGCACCTTTGTCAGTCTTGTTTACAAGGAAAGATTCATAAACTTCCTTTTCCTGCCTCTACTAACAATGACTATGATATTCTTGGATTAATCCATACAGATTTATGGGGACCTGCTCCTATTAAATCTTTTAATGGTTATCATTATTATGTGAATTTCATAGATCATAAAACCAGATATTCCTGGATATATTTTTTAAAGGCTAAATCAGACACATTTGCAGCCTTTCTCCACTTTAAAAACCTTGTTGAAAATCAGTTTGAGAAGAAAATTAAGATTGTGCAAAGTGATGGGGGGACTGAATTCAAAGCACTTTCACAATTCTTTCTTAACAGTGGCATATCACACAGAATTTCATGTCCATATACACCTCAACAAAATGGTCTTGCTGAAAGAAAGCATAGACACATTGTTGAAGTTGGTTTATCCCTTTTATCTCAATCTCAGCTTCCATATAAACACTGGGATGATGCATTTTTCACAGCATGCTATCTCATTAACAGACTTCCCTCAAAAATTCTTGATTATAAATCACCATTGGAGATTCTGACAGGTAAGAGACCAGATTATACTCATCTCAAGATTTTTGGCTGTTTGTGTTTTCCATACTTGAGACCCTACAATAAGCATAAGCTAGAACCCAGAACACAACCCTCAACTTTTCTTGGTTATAGCCAGCAATATAAGGGTTATAAAGCATTACTTCCTAATGGAAAAATCATCATAACCAGACACATACACTTTGATGAAACCATCTTTCCTTACCTTCAAAAACACAAGTCTCATACAAATAATCAAAGTGTTCCCCAGCATGTGTACCAAACACCTATCACATTACCTATTAAATACCCAACAGCTTTCCCAGAAACTCAGTCACCTGACACCACTCCAACATCTAACCATCATCATTCAGCAAATCAAAATACCTCACATTATAATTCCAATTCATCAAACCAGCATTCACACACAAGTTCATCTACATCACCTGGAATCCCCATTGGAGACATTTTTATAGATTTACCATTAGAGAGAGATAATGAGACTCATACTGTTCCTAATTTATCTGAGAGAACTGATGAAGCACTGCAGGAAAATATTCACCACATGACCACAAGATCAAAGGCAGGAATTTTCAAACCAAAGATCTATTCACATGAGGTGAAAGAAACTGTGATGAATTCCAGTGAAGAACCAAGGAGCATTGATGAAGCTTTTGCATCTTCAGAATGGAAAGAAGCCATGGACAAGGAGTACAAAGCCCTTCTGAAAAACAATACATGGTCCTTATGTGAAGCTCCTGGACACAAAGACATTATAGGAAGCAAATGGGTGTTTAAAGTGAAAAAGAATGCTGATGGAACCGTGGCTAGACACAAGGCAAGACTAGTTGCAAAGGGGTACACACAACAACCTGGCTTTGACTATACAGACACATATAGTCCGGTTATAAGACCAGTCACCATAAGAACAGTACTTGCCATTGCACTATCAAAATCTTGGAAGCTCAGACAGGTGGATGTAGACAATGCTTTCTTGTATGGTGACCTTGATGTTGACTTATATATGGAACAACCACCGGGTTTTGAGAAATCAGATGCATCAGGAAAACCTTTGGTTTGTAGACTACACAAGTCAATATATGGTCTAAAGCAAGCATCTAGAGCATGGTCATCCAAATTATGTAAAGTCCTTGGGAATTTTGGCTTCCAGATGTCCAAAGCTGACTCCTCACTCTTTTACAAGCACAAGGATAACACCTCTACTCTCATCCTTACCTATGTTGATGACTTGATTATCACAGGAAGTGATGGGGACTACATACAACAAGTTATCAATGATCTGTCCAAGGTCTTTTCTTTAAAGGACTTAGGTGAACTGAATTACTTTCTTGGGCTTGAAGTGATCAGAAATTCAGATGGCATTCTACTGTCTCAAAGAAAATATATACAAGAGATTCTGGTTAAAGCAAAGATGCAAGAAAGTAAATCTCTCAGCACACCCATGATAACAGCTCCTCTTACAAAGTTTGAAGGTGATCCTGTAGAAAATGATTATGAGTATAGGAGTCTTATTGGAGCTCTTCAGTATGCAAGCATCACAAGACCAGACATATCCTTCAGTGTAAATAAATTAAGTCAGTTCATGCAAGGTCCCACAAAAGCTCATTTCAAAGCTTTAAAAAGGCTGCTGAGATACCTATGTGGAACTACAGAACATGGCTTGCAATTTTATAAGAAATCCCATGGACAAATCATTGGTTTTGCTGATGCGGATTGGGCATCTGATATAGATGACAGAAAATCAACTACAGGTCTTTGTGTATATCTGGGTAGGAATCTTGTAGCATGGAGTTCAAAGAAGCAGAACATGATTTCCAGATCAAGTACAGAATCTGAACTTAGGAGTCTAGCTTCAATCACTTGTGAAATAATGTGGCTGCAATCTCTCCTCAAAGAACTTCATTTTGAGAGCAACTCACCCTCTACAATATGGATAGACAACAGAGGTGCAATATCCTTGGCAAGCAATCCTATTCAGCACTCAAGGACAAAGCATGTTGAGATTGACATGCATTTTATAAGGGAACAGGTGAATAATAAAAGGATCTCCATCCAGCATGTTCCCTCACTTTATCAAGTAGCTGACATATTGACTAAACCCTTGAGTGGACAATTCTTCACTCGTTTACGATCACAACTTAATGTTGTTCCTAAACGGACGTTTGAATTGAGGGAGGCTAAAAGAAGTCAACCTACACGTGTCAGCTACACAGTCAACAAAGGGATGAGATCCAAGACATTTAAACCACCTCAGCATGACCTCAAGGAAGTTAAGCACGATATGAACGTGCTGCATGACAGCATGCAAGAGTATGATGGAGAGAAACGAGCTTCTTGCATAACTGCCACTTAGTTTTTATTGTATAAATAGGTTCTATGTAGTTTAACTTACAGTGTGGTTTTATGTATCAAAACTCAAGTAATATAGAGTGATTTTCTGTGTTCAATGTTAACAATATTTATCATGTTTGGTCTACAATTCTTTTAATTTCGCTTTCTCATTGGCCAAACGTGGGACTTCCCTGCCGGCTCCCTGTAAGTTAAAAGGTTAAAATGTATTTGAAGGTTTGGATTTTTGCATAGAGAATCTTCGTTCCGCCATAGGTAAGGTAAAAACAAATAAAAAATAAAACGTATTTGAAGATAATTTTTATTTTGCTAAACAATTCATAGCCTCACATCTTTTGCTCAAGTTAATTTCTTCTCAACTTGACACCGAATACAGTAAATAACGTTATCGGTAAAGAGTAAGATTCTAGTCATGAAGTTAGTGCTCTCACTTGAGCTGTTAAACGAAAGAGCCAAACGAGACGAGCTCAAGTTCGTTTAAATGTCATTTCGTTAACAAGTTCTGCTTAACTTGATAAAGTTTGAAAAAATATATATTTTTTCTATAATTCAGTTCGTTCGAACTCGAATCGTTAGTTTTCATAAACGAGTTGAGATCTATCTCGATTTCTAGCTCGTTTACCAACTCGGCTCTTTAAGCGATCGAACTCGCGCTCAGGCACCCTGATCTCGACTCGCTTACCGGCCCTAGATTAGTGTTCTCATCGGTAAGAAACGAATTTTATGTTATCATGGAAGAGTTCTACATGATTTTGGTTGGCTACTTGGGTATGAGTAGTCAATCTTTAATAGTTATTATCAATTTTTTTATTTTCACGCCATAATAGAAGATTTAGTAGGTACACATTTTATGGCTTTAGTCTTCATTAGATCTTTGGTACGTTTTAGTCCACAAGCTCTATAGCATACATAGGTTGATTTTTTCTTCACTAATAATAATTTCACGTTTTTATCTAAATCATGTATTTATATTATTGTCCTGAAAATCAGACGAAATGAGACTACGAGTTGTTGATATCTTCGTAATTAATATTTTAAAATGTTTATAAATTTATAAATTCAATAATGGTCTGAAATATTATATTATATTTAATTTATTTATGAGTAGACTTAACATATGAAAAGATGCAAGTCCTACTAATTATACCATATATTAACATTTTAGCCTGAGAA